TTAACTACCTACCCACTTACAGAACATTAACAGGGCTTGCCCTTGCAGAGTTCACCTAGACCCTAGCATTTACTTCACAGCATATTCCTAGTACTTTTAGTATACCCCTGCTTTTTCTCCAAACTTCCAATTCAGATAGCCCAATAGGACTATAACCAGCCTATTGGTATATCAGATCAGCCTGATATCCTTTTCCTCCAGTCCTTCCGGTTGAACTTCTGGTGGCCTGGTTGGTGGTACCCTTACCCAGAGGTTTTTGCCCATCCGGGTACTCCACATTGGTATCTGTTTCCTAGGTCTAGCCTTTATAGTAGTACTGTTAAAGATCCATGTTACCTCTCTACTCAGGTCTTCCCAAATAAGCTTCTTGTTCTCTAATTTCTACATATTTACATAGTTACAAGGACTTATTTTGGGTTTGCACTGCCCAATGCCGGTTTGTATTCCTCTGTGTAACCAGTTACACAGATGCCTTATGACCTGCTAGTTATGCTAGTGTGACTATAATTACAGGTATCTTAATCCAATTATTAGGAACAGTTGCTGTAATACAAATATTACATAGGTGATTATCCAAATTTTGCTGTCTGTAGGTTTTGAACTCACAATCTACCACTTGGAAGGTTGACAACTTATCCACTTTACTAAGTTGCCACTCCCCTACAATATTAATTAAAAGTTTAAAATTAATTACTAATCAAGCATTTTACTAATCTGATCAATTCAAAACTTAATTTAAGCAGAAGAAGTTTAAACAACATAGTAAAAATCATGTGATCAGAAAAATTCAAGTTTAATTGGTTTGAGTTAAATTGAGTTCAAACAAGTAGAATAATATTTGAAATAGAATTGTTTTGAATGCTTCAATTTTGTAGATCATTATACAATTTTTTTATATATTTTATAATACATTTTTTAGAAGCTTGAGTAGGTTATTTCTTCTGTAAATCTACAAAGTGTATTAAGTAAAAAATTGAAGTTTTCATGCTATACTATTATAATATAGTTAAATTATTCTGAATTATTTAACCTTCATATTAGTTTAGCTTATTAAAAAAAATAACTAATGCTAAGTGTTGTATGAATTGCAAACCACTGGGCCAACTACATTTTATTTTTTAAAAAACAAAACATAAGAAAAAGCAAAAAATAATAGTTTAACTAAGGTAATTTAGATGAAAAATAATAAATTATATTATACTTATTATATAAATTTTGTAGAAAATCTATTATGAAAAGAGCCAAATGAGTAAAAGTTTTAGTTAAAGAAGTTGAAGCTATAATTAAAGAAGTAAAAGTTACAAGTAATAATATGAAAACTGCAATAGAAGATATAAAAGCTACAAATAAGAAAATAAATATAATTAATCTTATCAGAACTATTAAGGCTATGTTAAGAATTTTCTATAAAAGAGAGCATATAAAGTTAAAAAATTCTATTTTTTATATGATAAACTGCAAAAGATATTTTAAGCAAATAAATATTTAGAAAATTTTCTTAATTAACTTTATTTAGCAATTAGGCTATTTGAGCATAATAAGAAAACTATAAATTATATAAGCTAAGTTTTGCAAAAAAAGAGGAAAATGATAAATTTTTTAAAATAAATTTTTTATATAAATCAATTTAGAATAATGTTAAAATTATTTTTTAACTCAAGTATAAAAGCACTAGTATTAATAAAATTTTGCAATATAGCTTATAAAAGTTTAAATTTTTTTATAAATTATTATAAAATTTATAATATAAAAACTGATTTTTCAAAGATTTTTTTTTTGTTAATTTTTTTTTTTTTTTTGCAGAATACAGTCCATATTAAGAAATTAATTGTTCATATTTGTTATCTTTTTGCATAGTTAAATAATACAAAAATTAATTCTTTTAAGTTCAATATAGTTTATTATTTAAATTCTGTAGATATAAATAATAAAGACATAGATATATTAGCAAATCTTTGTATATCTTTAATGTCAAAATTAGTAAACTAAAGAAAAAAAAATGCAAATGCTCATATAGAATATATAGAAAATGCTCTTTTTAAATATTTGGATAAAGCTTTTATTTTGAATATTAATAAATATCATAATATTTATATTCTACAGTAAACTAATTTTACAAATACATTTTATTTAGCATATATGACAACAATTGTGACAAATTCATATTTTATAATAGCAATACTATATAATGAGGTACTTAATTCAAAATTTATTGATAGTAAGCTAATAATAAAATATTTTAATAAATAGTTTATTACTACTCTTAATATTTCTTATTATAAATATTATTAAAATTATAGAGATGAATGTTTTGATAATAAGTTTATTGAAAAACTAACTTTGCATAGTTATAATAACAGTTTAGTAGAAAAAAAGAGTAATTAGCATATACAAAATACTATTCTTTTTAATTTCATTAAAGGTAATTTAAAAGAAATTAAAAATTATACAAAAGTTTTTTAAATTGTATATAATCAAGAATTGATACAAAAGTATCTTTTTAATTATATAATTCTTATTATTATAGATTAGTTTAATTAGTTTTTTATTTAAAAACCTATTGTACATTAGTTTCTTTTTAATAATAAGGTTATTTTTTTATTTGTTATATTATTCTTGTCTATTATAAAACTACTTCATATATTATTGAATAGTTATGAACTTGTTTTTAAGCAAAATTCATTTTTATTTAATGATATTTACAAGAACATATTTAAAAAAAAGAAGAATCTTAGTAAAAAGCTGTAATCATAATGAATTAACTTAATTTTTTATCTTGCATATGTGGTATAACTTAACATATCTAATATAGTTTATTTAAAGTTTAATTATATATATATATATATTGAATTTTTATATTTAACTGATCTTTTAAATAATTTAATTCTTCTAGTTCTCAATGTTTATGCAATGCATTATTAAGAAGGTAATTGAACTGTTTTTGAAAAGTTTGTTTTTATTATTATAATAATTTATTTCTTCAATTTGATTAAAAAAATTATAAATATATTTTGTTAATAGTTTTATTTAATATATTTTTTTGGACTAAAACTAATCATCTATTAATAAATATTATCACTAATTATCTTATATCTTTAAGTAATTGTTTTATAGAAATGGTTCATAATATCATTCAATAATATATAACTAAATTTTTTATGACAGATCAATTGCAAAAAGATATATATTTTATGTTTCAAAATCAAAAAGATAATGTTTTTTGTTAACATTTTATAAATTTTATGAAGTATTCTTACAAGTTGAAGTAATTATATATGTTATCCTAAAGTGTGCTATGTTGCTTTTAGAAATATTTATAAAGATATACAAAATACAACATAAATATCCTTAGATTATTAGTTTGTTTATTGATAATATTAATATGTATAAGTTGCCTTTTTTAAATTATAAAATAACTAATCATTACCTTTCAAAAGGTTTTATTACCTTCAAAAAGCTATATACAAGTGTCTTATATGATTTTTTATATTGCAATTATATTAGTTATACTAACTATTCTGATAATAATATTGTTCTTATATGTAAACATAACTATTATAACTATTACTTATAAAAATGCAATTTTAAGTGTTTAATTTGTTTAGACTATCTTCAAAATGAAATTAAGATTAATGTCAAAATACTAAAAATAAGTATGACAAAAGATTTAAGCAAAAATGAATTTATTAAAAAACATATTAAAAGTACTAATAAAAATAAATTAAACAATGCTAAAGCAGTAATGAATTATATAAAAATAGAAATTAATTTATTAGAAAATGCAAAAAATTCTTTTTTAAATATTAAATAAAAATTACATGTATTTATATTTAAAAAAATTTTTTTTTAATAAATCATATGGGAATATCGTGATTATTAAAAATTAAGTGATATACGTGCTGGTTTATAAATGATTTATAAATATTATGCAGCTTTATAATCGGTTTCATAAGCAAATTAAATATAAAGATTTATTATTATTATTTAGTAACAATCCATAAGCGGATTATAGCTAAGAACAACTTACAATTCAATTTTATCGCAATATTAATTCTATTATTACCCGTGCTTATAGTCAAAAATTCGCAATTTTGATTAGTTGAATCGATATGCAGAACCATGGTTTCCATATTTGGGACGGTCCTACCTGTAGAATAACATCCCTAAACCTAATTTTTTGTCAATCATAAAAAAATGGGTTTGCTAAATTGATAAATAATACTGCACAGTGTTTATTTCACGTGCACACTTTTGCACATGAAAAATAAACACTGATACTTTCTATATCTAATTTTAATAATGCCTCCTACCTTTAAATCTCGTCGATTTTATCCGATTTACTCACGACCAGTAGTAATTTGAGGGGAAAATTAGTGGAAATCGGTCACTCATGGATCACCTGTTCCGAGTCTAATAATAGCAAGAGCGATTTTCATATACTAAAACATATATACGACATACGTTGGATTGTTGATTAAAATTCAATGTGGCGCCATATTTGTTTGGACGGTTACAAGTTAGAAGAAAGTGGTTTATATAATAAATTGTTCAACAAAACCTTTTTTAGAAAACCAAAAGTGGTTTCTTATATATAATTTTGAGAAATAAACAGCACGGTTGTTTGTTTTGATCATGTTATGTTGCACCTGATCTTGTATTACATCGGATGGTTCTTGACCCGACGGGTCACGGGTCCAAAATTCGATAATCAAATCTCGATAAATACTTGTGAACCTCGAATTTTATCAACAAATACTATGGCGACACATCTAAGTACATAATGGAAACTGAGACGGAGCTTGACTTCTGTCAAGCCTTTAATCTTCTCACTGATAGTTTAAATCTACTAAAGCAACTCCTGTTTCAGTTAGAGCCTTATGTACTGATTATCTTGCGTGGTTAGAAGTGAAGTATTTTCTCTATTTTTGACAATGAGTAATATATAAACCCTTACATGAGCAAAACTCGAATTGGGTAATAATGCCTTTTCAACTGAAAAAATGAATAAACAATCTGCTGTTCTTCATAACACCATTGTGGTAAGTTGATATGCATGCATTCCCATTTGTTTTTAATATAATACTCAATACATTATCACCCTACAGAAAACAGTGTGCCTTAACGCAAAAACCAATACCTTTCAAGCTCATTTGTAGTCATGGCCTTTATTGCCCGTAGGAACTTCAGAAGCTTCACGAACTCCGCCGCAAACATTTCAGACTTTGATATCATTGTTAAATACACCTGACAAGAGACAGTTTGAAAAAGAGAAGTTTCAACAGAATTCCTTTCTTTTGTTTATATGTACCATCTTTACAAATAGAAGGCATCCTAACATGTGTTTTGTTCCTTTTTCACGTGAAAGGTATATCCAAAAAGTTTTCATAGTATGTGCATTTGATAGAACAATCGAAGAATTGATAAAAGATATAGGAGAGGAACTTGCTAAAGAGGTGCTAACTATACGAGACAATAATCCTGATGTGTGGACAACAAGCTTGGAGAATGAAAATTTTAAAAGCCATGCCCAAGATAAAACATCAGATGTTGGGGAAGAATTTTTTATATTATATTGTGAAAAAATTTTCATTGAATTGTGCGCAGACATTAATATTTATGACTTTATTAATGATGTTACTGACAACTTTTTATCTTAGTTTCCATCTCGTAGACATTAATCCGTCGATGAGCAGAAAATTGGCGAACGTAAACACATAGTATACCAGATTCCTCATTATTTAAGTTCTATGAGAGAACATTTTCGTTAATTGAATTTGATTGGATCGAATCGCATGTCAATAACGCGAAAATTATGAAGTCAGCCACTAATTCCGGAATTGTAAAAGTATGCATTAAGGGAATGAGAATGTCTGATGGTTTAGATATATTCATATGGAGGTGGCGGGTCCTCGATGCAATGCAACTGATAAACATATTATGGGTGATACAGTAAAAACCATGCGAACAGACATTTTAAATCTAATCGCCATTGTACGAAACCACCTTAACTGTGAAATAAGTCTGGCTACAAAAATTAGAGTGTATAGTATCCAATCTATCAGTGAGTAAGAATGTTTAATTTTATGTTCATGTGTTAGTGATTGAATTCTCTTATGCACTGTTCCTATCTTTTAGATGCTCGATTAACCCTATATGCACTAAGTATGCTTTTCGCAGTCGTTTTCTCGTAAGCGAACTTGCCACTGTCGTTATGCCTTTCAGTTTTAGTGGCCGAAGTCAGTACAAAGGTGTCCTTAGAATGATGCCATCTTTCACGTATATATTGAAATTTATTGTCTGATAGTCATACTACTATTTATGATATTCATATAGTTATATCTTTTTGTAGTCTGAGATCACAAAGCAGGAGAATTGATAAAAGAAGTTAATCGGCTTGTACTTCGGCCCAAGGAGTGACTGTTCGCCAAGTACTAAAAATTCTTGAATTGGAATGATACTAAATGTTATGATATATATATATATATATATTAATTTTATTCTGATATTTAGATTTAAATGTGGAACACTTGAAATAAATAATCGGTCAGGTTGACATTTTTTTATTTTACCCACGCATCCATGCCGGTCATCTAGACGGTGGATAATGTCTGGAAGTGTGAATGAGGAGATTTTCACATTGGTCATCTAGACGGTGACCTCCTTAACATAATCCTGTTTGCTGGTTTGCCATCTAGGTGATCGGTCAACAGAGGTGCGAGTAGAAAGACCTCACTTGCCATCTAGGTGTTGAGCTTTTTGCTCGTAAAGGTAGGCCATCAAGTTTCGCGCCGGTCATCTCGACGGCGAACTGATGGAAACTGATGACAGTTGACATCATCCGATTCAACTATATCAGGATTTAACTTTTGTGCATTATTGCTTTTGTTTACTAAGTTCGCGCCGGTCATCTCGACGGCGAACTGGTGAAAACTGATGACAGTTGACATCATCCGATTCAACTAGATCAGGGTTTAACTTTTGAGCATTATTGCTTTTGTTTACTAAGTTTTAACTAACACCTATTATTGTATTATTAATATTATTAAAGGAAAGCCTTGTAACATTAATGAAAGATTATTTAATATCAACCATTTATTTATAACTATGAACTCGAAGACACCTACCATGTAAATAACTATGAAATATTAATAAGTAATAAGTTACTGAATTTTTACTCATGCAAACTTAATTCTTATCATCAGTAGGTTATATTATGCAGATGATAGTGAATACCAAGACAATTTTTAGAGGATCGCATTAATAAAACTAAAATATGGAATTTAAAATTTTTTTTAATACATAATCGTGTTTACTTTGCATGTGTATTTCGTGAATTTATTTCTTATCGAGCAAGTTTCACAAATTTATCAATTGCATCACCATGATAATTAATTAATTAAAATGATAAAGGGATTGGGATTTTATTTTGAATTTCTTCCGCCTTATTCGCCAGATTTTAATTCTATTGAAACTGTATCTAATGTTATGATAATCTAATTTATGTAATTACGATAGCGAGTACAATTACACACTGATATTGCAGCACAATTTTCCGAAGGATTTATTTATATTGGAAGGTTTAAAAAAAACAAAAAACAGCTTATGTATTTTTAATTTCATAAATGCATAGCTTTAATTGTATTTTTTTTTAGAATTTATGCAATTAGAAAGAGTTGAAGACACCGGTATAATTATAACTATGTACAGGATGATATAATTAGTTTTTTTTTCTTATTTAAAATAGTATAATTTTGATTTCCTGTTTTAAGTTGTGTATAAATTCATAGTATTTTTTTTAACAATTGCCAAATACTTAATACATATTCATGATTTTATAAAGTATTATTACAATTAGAGGTTTAAACTAAACTCGTTTTTTGTATATTACATCAGTTAGAACCGATTTGCTATAAGATAAAACAACTTTAGGTCAGCTATTGAATACACAGCATTTAAGCTGTATGTACAGTACCCTCAGAAAGTATATCACGGTTGCACAAAAAAGCTTAACATAAATTATGAAAAAGTATGTGTACGTAACTGAATTTGTGCGTATATCTAAACTTATTCCTGTACGTATGTACGTACAGTACATACTACGTAATTTGCAAACTGTTAAGCAATAAATTTACATATTTAGAAATTTATGTTAGTTTTTTAGGGTAACCGTGATATATTTTTGAGGGTACTGTACATAATGTTACGGTGGTAAAGTGAGGAAGGTGTGATAATAGAATTGAGCCGGACTGTGTAAAACTTAGAATTTAGTACAAGCCCTTTATTTGTAAATAGAATTTTCTAAAAATGTATATGTATACTTACTCTTTTATTATCGAAGATCATAACCGAATTAGTGTAATCGTACCAAGATCTTGTAATAGTCTTTAGTAACGAAACCGTGGATCACTGAAACTAAGTAGCAATAATGTTAGTAAGTGAAACTGCTAGTTTCAAAGATCTAAAAGTTCGATTATTGTATCTCTTAATACTTTATTAAGTATAAAAGAGGGGCTTTCGAGTCTTTAATAAAGTATACAGTCTTCAATGTTGAATAAAAGAATCGATTTCTCAAGTGTTTGAATAAATTTGTTAGAATCTTATTTACTTAATAAAAACCTACTTAATAACAATTATATATATTGAAAAATCTGTTAAATTTTTATTATTACTTTGAAATCCAAAGCATGTCCAAGCTCTAATAATTAATAAATTTGTCTAAAAAAATATATGATTATATATTTTTTTAGGTTTTGAATATTTTTTACTTCGAAATGTATATAGATTATCTTAACAAAATTGTGAGTAAAATTGTCCAAACTCATGTCCAAAGCTGTTCATTGACAACACTGACCCGGCCCACCCTCCCGTAGAAACAGGCACCCAGAAAATGTGTACCAGGTTGGGTTCGGATAATCGTCCGGATGATAGTCCGGATGATACTTTAAAAATTAAGCAATTTCAATTACAGCTATTATCATAATTCCTGGGACACCTGTAAAATTGGCCGAACGATTTTTCGGCCGATTCGGTTAAGTTTATGATTTCGGGAATAAAATTGTACGTACGTACAGTGGCCTCCGAAAGTATAAAATAGTTACACAAAAAAACATAACAAATTTAAAAAAAAACAGCAT